CCCCCCCAATGCCCGCTGGGCCCGCAGAGGCCGCTCAGGGGGTGGCCCGGAAGCAGCGGGAGCAGGATGAGACCCCGGACACCGACGAGGTCAAGGTGAGGGGGCGAGGGGGGCACAGCACCCCCGGGGGCACCAGGGGGTCCAGGGGCCCTGAAGGGTCTGAGGCTTTTGGGGCAGGGGGGAAGTTGGGGGTTCTTGGGGCACATGGGATGTGCCAGAAGTGGGGGGGTCCCCAGGTGCTGAGGGGTGCTGGGTGTCCCCGGGGTGCTGGGGGGTGCTGAGGGGTGATGGGACGTTTTGAGGGTACCAGGAAGTGTTGGGGTGTGGATATGCAGGGGTCCCAGGGGGTGTTGGGGTCCCTGGGGGCTCTTGGGGGTCTCTGGGGGTGCCCGGGGGGTTTTGGGGTCTCTGGGGGTCCTGGTGGGTCCCGGGGGGTGTTGGGGTGCCCGGGGGGTGCCCGGTGGTCCCGGGGTGGCCGCTCTGACGGGGGTCTCAGGCGGCACTGGAGCTGCAGCTGGAGAGCCAGCGCGAGGCTCAGCACAAACAGCTCGCGCGGCTCCGGGACGAGGTGAACGAGCGGCAGAAAACCATCGATGAGCTGCGCGAGTGAGTGACCCCACCCTGACCCCTGACCTCTGACCCCACCTGAGACTGACCCCATCCTGACCCCTGACCCTGACCCCAGCTGGCCCCTGACCCCGACCCCCCCGGGCCCCCCCCAGCCCTGCCCCCACCCCCCACCCTGCCCCTGTTCCTGTCCCCAGGGGGGTGGGGGAAGGGGGGTCACACAGGGACTGTCCCCCCACAGATCTGTCTGTCTGTCCCCCTATCCATCTGTCCGTCCCTCCCTCCCTCCATCCTTCCCTCCCTCCATCCCTCCCTCCCTCCATTCCTCCCTCTCTCTCTCTGTCCATCTGTCCTTCTGTCCATCCCCCCCATCTGTCCATCCCTGCTCCTGTGTCCATCTGTCCCTGCCCTGTGTCTGTGTGTCCATCCATCCTGACTGGTGTCCACGTGTCCATGTGTCTGTCCATCCTGACCGTGTCCATGTGTCCATGTGTCCGTGTGTCTGTGTGTCCATGTGTCCGTGTGTCCATCCTGATCATGTCCATCTGTCCATCCTGACCGTGTCTTCGTGTCGGTGTGTCTGTCTGTCCATCTGTCCGTGTGTCCGTGACCGTGTCCGTGTGTCCGGCACAGCCAGAAGCAGAAGCTGGAGCTGGAGCTGGAGCGGCTGCGGGCGGAGCACGAGGCCCTGCGGGGGGAGGAGCGAGCCAAGGCCGCGCGGCTGCAGGAGCTCACGTGAGACCCCCGGGACCCCCGGGACCCCCCGGGACCCCCCGACCCTCCCGCCCCCCCCCATCCTTGGAGTGACCCCCCATCCTTAGAGCGACCCCCCAACCTTGGAGTGACCCCCCCATTCTTAGAGTGACCCCCCCATCCTTGGAGTGACCCCCCAACCTTGGAGTGACCCCCCATCCTTAGAGTGACCCCCCAACCTTGGAGTGCCCCCCCCATTCTTAGAGTGACCCCCCC